CATGTTCCCTCTCACTTCAACAGGCACACCAAAAAAAAAATCTCTAAAGCAGACCTTCAAAATCCTAAATGTCTGAAAAATGTAAAAAGGCCACTAGCAGCAGCCAAATACAGAATATTTATAAAAAGAAAAGCAAAATGTTATAATCATCATTATTGAATAATTATGGTAAAAGGTCGTGTTAATGTAATATTGTAAATATTTGACCATTAAAAAAAGCCATAGAAAGATCTGAAACCTGTTCATCATTTTAACACATTTCTATTCACACTCCTGACTAATTGGAGGATTCTCACGGATGGTTTTTTCAAGAGTCAGGACGCGTTGGAGCACATCTGGTTCAAAAGCACATTCAAAACTTTGGTTTAAGTGGTGCTTTGAATTTAAATAAATAATACTTTAATTAGAAGGAAAGTTAGGTGCAGAAGTTAGACTGCAACAACTGCAGCGTACTGGTTAGCTAAATGCGTTAGCAGCCCTGCCCTGCTCCGCTCCTGTCAGTCACACATCCCAGACGGTTTACACTTGACTAACGCTGCAGTAGCAAAATGAGAAGATGTTGAGTCAAAGCTAAAAACAGGAGAAGTTACAACGCTAAATCAAATGGTGGTCTAAGAACAAAAGTAGTAACATTTTATTTAAAATATGTCAGGATTTACTTCAGGCTGAGGCCTGTAATTAAAGTTAATCTGTTGGGTTGGAACAGGTTCAGACACAATATCTATGGGCTCGGTCTGGGTCGGGTTGGATTCTCTAGGATCTAATCTCTAGTGCAGATCTACTTTTCCATTTTTTTTCACTGGCTTGTACCTTACAAACAACAGGGAGTACAAAAGTCTTCAAGGTTTCTGAGGCCAAAATAACAAACAAAAATAGACCCCCATTATAGTGGCGGTCACACAAAAAAACTACAATTACTAAACTCCCTGTCCGACCACAAAACAGGGAAGAAATCAGTCAAAGGAAAATGGCAGAGAACCCAAACTGAACTCCCTATCTAAGCACTGAACATGCTGAAGTTCAAATGTCACTGAAGCTCTTATGGTCCACTGATGAGGGAGAAGTGGTTCCAGGTGTGTTAGCAGGCCTGCAAACACAAAGGAGCAAAGGTGGGACCTGGAGAACGAGGACCCCTAGAGGTCAGACGTAACAGTAGGTGAGCGGCCTACATCGGAGCTGTGACTGTGGAGGGTCTGTTCCCTCTGCAATCTGTTCCTGCATGCTTGGGTCCGTTCGTTACTATTTCTGCTCTGCTTGTTGCGCTCTGTGCTCAGTTTTGTTCTCGGCCGCTTCGGCCTCTCTGCTGTGACAGCGACAAGAACGTCCGATGCGCTAAAGCACAATGAGATATAAGCCTTTGGGGTCTTTTCCGAATTGAAATGACATTGTGTGTGTGTGTGTGTGTGCGTGTGTGTGTGTGTGTGTGTGTGTGCGTGTGTGTGTGTGTGTGTGTGTGTGTGTGTGTGTGTTGAGGCCTACCGTCATTAATGTTCTGTTCTGGGACCCCAGCCCAACAATTGAAACTTGTTGTCTGTGGGACCAGAACTGGCCCCGGTCAGTCGGTTTCATGTGGGTGTGAATGGACCGCTCACCTCGCTGTGCCAAACATGCACACAAAACTTTTCCAGCAAAGCGGCGTGACCTGTTTGATGTGGAGCTAAAGGTTTTCACCGTTCCAGTCCCAGAAACTGTTGGCTCTGTGTTGGGTCTGCACAGATAAATGAATTTTTTATTTATTTTTTATTCTTGTCACACCTCATTCCCCCCACCTGTGAGAAATGAGACTTTAATGATCCCGTGTTTTATATTCTGACTTTTTTTCCTTTTTCTTCTTCTTCTTCTGTTTCCTCCAGCTGTCCTTGTGCGATTCTTGACCAGACGCTTTATTGGTGAATACGCCTCGAATGCAAGTAAGTGTTTCCAGATTTCAGAAAGCCTTTTGCTTTTAAAAGCTTTAGTAGAAGACCATAAATACCTAGCGCTGCTATCAGATGCAGATCTGTGAAGGTCGTTTCACCTCTTTATCATTTTGGTCGTTTCCTTTTACTGAAAATTTTTTCTTATCCAACCTGAAACCTGATGACCTAAGGTATTTTTTTTCTGATGGATCTTTATGACTTTTAATCAAACAGAAACTACTCAGAATTAATTTGGTGTGATCAGTTCAATTCATAGTCTTTAATTTTTCCAGAAATCAGCTGTACCAAACAATTCATGGTTAATGGGAAAAGGTCATTATTTGAGTTTTTCACCTGCCCATCAAAAAACTCAAATAATATAGAATTAATTGGAATTATACAAAATATTTGTGCATTTTTAGATATTTATTTGACGTACCTATTAAAAAGTACCAAAAACAATAATGACAGGGCACAAAATGAGGGTAGAAAATGGCAAAGTGGAAAAAGGTACTGAATTACAAATTTACCTGATGACTCTGCACCAGTACAGCAACTCTTCAATACACCAACAGTTTGGTCAAATATGTAAAAACAACTGTAATTTGTTTAGTCAGTGCAATCAGGAGCATAACAGCCAATGAGAAATAAACATAAAGAAACTGACATAAACAAAAGGTTGACTACAATTAGGAAATCTAAATATAATGTAAAATAAATAATAAAGCATGACGTCGCTCAGAGTACAAACCATAGAATTAGACTAAATAGATCTACTCTTACGGATCAGGAACATTGTCACTGATACCTGATATTTTTTTTCAATATCAAGAGCAATATTAATATCGGATCGTTGCGTCTCTATATGAAATCCATGCTAACAAACAAGGTTGTAGTAATTTTTTAAAGGTCAAATTCAAACTGTATGTCACTCATAAACACAAAATGCACAAATCAAACAGAATAACGCTGTAATGATACTTATGCCAATAGGTTTTGTCCTTTTTCTCTCTCTTGCGTCTCGTTTACAGACTCTTTGTACCATAAGAGGTTGTCGATCGACGGCAGGCAGTTGAACCTCGAAGTGTTTGACCCCTGCTCTCAGGTACGACTCACATGTCAAGGCTATGATATGGAGTCCAGGTTGTACGTTCCTGTTTGGAGTTCTCTTATTTTCAGCATTCATTACTATAGACAGCCAAAAGTCAGCTTCTAGACTGACTTTTTTTCAGCCAGGAAGTAGCAATACCTGGGACAGATTTTTTGTTTGTTTGTTTTTTTGTTTGTTTGTTTCACATTCCAACAACAAAACTTCAAATCTGAAAAGTGTGGCATGTGCAGGTGAAATCAGATGTTTACATACACTAAATACAAAGGCACACACTCATTTTTTTTTCTCAGCATCTGAAGTAAAGTCAGACCAAAGTTTTCTTGTTTTAGGTCAGTTAGATTTACCAAAAATATCTATATTTGCTAAATGCCAGGATAAGGAGAAAAATAATATTTCAGATATTTATTTATGAATGTGTTCAAAATCAGAAGCTGACATACAGAATGATTACTGTCTCTTTAAACAATCAGGGAACGCCCAGATGATGACGTGGTGAGGAACTGGTGCACTTCATAAAATTCATACAGTTCAAAGGCAATGCTGACAAATACAGAGGAAATTTAGGTAAACTTCTAATATTAAAAACATTAATAAGTATTAATAAATAAACCTTGATTGATTGATTGATTTGGACATTGCTTCTATATTTTTACGTAATGTTGTTTTCCTCATGACGTCATCTATTTTATGAAGTGCACCAGTTCCTCACCACGTCATCATCTGGGCTTTCCCTGATTGTTTAAAGAGACAGTAATCATTCTGTATGTCAGCTTCTGATTTTGAACACATTCATAAATAAATCTCTGACATATTTTCTCATTATTGTGACATTTAGCAAATAGAAACTAACAGAAGTACTTTAAAGTCTATTCTCTGAGATAAAGGGTGATAAAAGGGCAAAACATCCAAAGTTGGTTGAATGCTTTTTGCGTGGTTGTAACGTGGAAACAATAGTGTGTATGAATACTTCTACAAGGTGATATACGCAGCTTTCAGACATGAAAATTGCATAACACACTTATAGAAACTCATCTAGCTAATAACATGTTTAGAATACAAAACTGAAATAAAACTAGTTTCTTTTTTGTTTTACTCTGAAACTGTGATTTCAGAATAAAAGCACTTGTCCCCCTGTCAGCAGAGCTCCGAGGCCCGGTGCATCCTGGAGGAGCCAGTGGACTGGGCCGACGGCTTCGTGGTGGTGTACAACATCAGTGACCGCTCTTCCTTCATCAACGCCAAAAGCATCCTGTGCCAGATCCGGGAGGCTCGCACCGACAGCTGCAAAGGGTCAGAGGCAGCGCAACTCAACAGTAGATCAGAAATAACAGCATGCTGATGTCATGTAGCTGTAAGGAGCTCTGACAGATCAGAGGTTTGTTTAGCATTGAGGCTTTTCCTGCTAGCCTCTAAATGTTTCACAGGTAGAAATATGTCCTACTGCAAACATTTATGGCAGTTCTGTTCTGGATTTGAGAGTGCAGAACGTAACTACAGCGGCATGTTGGGGTCACTGTTAAGGGGGAAAAAAGAGGTGTAGATTTCTGCAAAAAACAACTCAAAAATTTACCAAAACAAAAAAAGTGGAAATTTCTGAGTTTGAAAAGCCAAAAATTTGCTAAAACAACCCTCTGAAATTTTGAAATTAATCTTTGAAATTCTTTAGGAAAAACTAAAAAATATCCATGTTATTCAAAAGTAACAAAAGATGGCAGATTGTTTTTTGACAGAGAAAATATAAAAATGATTTTAATTAACAAAATATGTAATGTACTACAAAATTAACAAAAGCTAAATTATAAAGACAGAAACACTAAGAAACATTATTTGGGTCAATCCTTCTGTTTGGTTTGACTATAATATTTCTACATTTCTAAAAGCAACTCTTCATGCTGAACAGCTGCTATAACTGATTGCAGAAATCACTTTCCAAAAGTTGTTCAGGGAGAAAAGTCATTTTTAATGTCAGCTCCTAAAAACTAGGGATGCATCCGTACGACAATTTGAGCTGATATCGATATCCGATACTAATATTGCTGTTATGGTTGATAACCGATATTTTCTGTTATTACATATAGTTTAATACCGTTTTGACACCTTGGGGAAAAAAAACAACAAAAAACCCCACCAGAAATAGACGGCAACAAGATAAAAATAAGTATCGGTTGTTCATATCGGCCCGGTTTTATTTATGGGGCCAACACTGATTTGTTAAAAAATTACTAATATCGGCCAATACAGATGTTGGAAGCAGTATATTGTGTATCCCTACTAAAATCATGGCATAATTGTTTATTCTTTTTCTCCTTGTTCTGTCATGAAGTTTGACATTTAACTTGCTAACTGAGGCCTGTTGACTTTACTCCTTTGCCGTGTTGTAAACCTAACATATGATGGCGATCATCGAGGTGTTTGTCGTTATTTTGAGAAATTCCAAACTTGTCCTCATGTGGAAAAAGCACAAAAATAACATTTGTGATATTCATAGCTGTATTTTCACCAAATGATAAAACTGAACAAGCAAAGATGTTTTTATTTAAAAAGCAAACAAAAAGCAAAGATTCCTAAGAAGAAACTTTTTGTTTGTTTTTGATTCCATAGCACCATATGATTCTCACACAATGTAAATATTAATGAACAGCGTTACATTCACTCTGACGAAGGAAATCGTTAACCAGCCACCTCCAGCGAAAGGCATTTCTTCTCATAGCTAGACTGTTGGTTTATGAGAGAATATTTAAACAAGGGAAGCGGTGAAGTGGCTGGAATTATTTACATCTACACTGCACCCAGACATCCGCAAAAAGAAAATGAAAAAAATACGGCGGGAAGACGGAACGAAAACAAAAGCTCCACTCGTCTCTTTGAAGATGAACAGGAATCTTTGTGCAGGTTTGAGTTTGTGGAATGTCCCGACTGAGCCGTGTGCGTCCTGATTAACGGTTCAAGACGATGGGCAAGAAAAACAAGCCGAGCCACATCAGTTGGGCAACCCGGCTCAGGAAAATTCATCTTACCAACGGAAAGGGAAGAGGAGTGAAGGAGGAGATCATTAACTCATGGTGAAGATAAGAAGAGGATCTGAATGTGGTGTTTGTATGCTACGACCAGTGAGGCACAGATCAATTTTTTTCACTTCCGATACCAATATCTGAAGTTTAGTATCCGCCGATACGATACAGTACAGAAAAACAGTGCTGAGTTGACTTAAAAGGGTACTTCTTTTTAAAAAAAATAAAAAACACTGACAAATGTAAATTCTCCAGTAGCATCACAAGTTTGATTAAACGTGTAAAATCAACTTTAATTGGTTCAGTCAGTCCAGGTGACTTGAATTGCACTGATTCTTCTGTTTGGTTTTGAGTAATTTCTAAAAGTGTAGAAATTTTTAGAAATTTACATAAAATTTTAGCGTCCATAAAACAGGACTCTAAATGCTGTTTTCACCGGGCCACCGGTTTCCAGTTCCTGACACTGAACCGTCCTGTATCACATTTCCAGCCACTGTAAAATAAATAATAAAGAAACTGACAAAAACAATAGGTTGACTATCTTGGTCAAACAGGTAAAACATAAACAGCAACATCTTTCAAATGTTTCAGAAAGTGTAGCTAGGAATTTTAAATATAAAGTGAAATAAAAGAACAAAGCTTAGAATTAGACAGTAAATTAAGATAATCATTTTATTACAATTGAAAATGTTAAATATGGCACAATGTATTTATCCTTTTTATAAACAAGCAGTTATTGTATAGATCCATGTCTGTCCAGAGAGTTTTACTGAAAAGCCGACTGTGCTGTGCCCAAATCAGCTTCGACTTACCTGATTAAACTTGATTAAATATTAGCAAGTGTTCTGAAAGACAGTGACCCAAATGCTGTTTTAATAACTGCGTAAATTTGCTCAATCAAGAACAAAAAAAAAAAGGAAAACCAGATGTCTTTCTTTTGATACAGCAAATGTGCAAAATCTGTTTTAAAGTTTTGGATCTGTAATGAATAACATCCTTTTCCTACAAAGTAAAATTTTTTCCATTATCGGGATCGATACATTATTAAGATCAATACCAAGCTAGAACAGCCATCTCACACTCAGAAGGGGCACGTTTTGGGTTAAGAAATGTGTCCAAACGTAGGATATACAACGATAGTGTCCGTCCAAGTTAACACTCCTTCCTGTTTCAGGGACTCGGACGTTCCCGTGTGCCTGGTGGGTAACAAGCAGGACCTGTGCCACGTCCGGCAGGTACGAGAGGACGAAGGCCGCAGCCTGGCGCAGGAAACCCGCTGCCACTTCCAGGAGGTGTCGGCGGCGGAGAGCTACCAGGACATCGCTGGCCTCTTCACCCGGCTCATCCGGCAGGTGATGGAGCACCTGAAGTACCGAGCCGACCGCCGGCGCTACAGCGGCTCCAAGTCCATGGCCAAGCTCATCAACAACGTGTTTGGCAAGAGGAGGAAATCAGTGTGACGGTCCCAGCTGCAGTATGACCTGAAAACAAAGTCAAGCTGGGTGAACTGGGAGGTTGCTTCTTTTTTTTCTTCTTCTTCTTTTCCAACAAAGTCATAGTCGAGGCAAGCAGCAAAGCTTCGTATTTGTTCAGTACCGTTGAAACGTACTCTTGAACATTTCCACTTGTCACGACTTTAATCTACTTTCTTGGGATTAAACAACATTAGACACACAAAGTGGTGCATAACTGTAAAATGAAGCTTGGTTTATGAATAGTTTTTGCAAATGAAACATCCTCTTTGGCCAAACTTAGGTCTAGTCAAAGTATTTTAAATAGGATTTAGCTTTGGACATTGACTAGGAACACCTGAATATGCTTTGATCTAAAGCAAAACAGCAGCTGCATTTCCATTACAAATGTTGACATTTCTGGTTTTTTGCTAATGTTGAAAAAACTATTTTACAGTTGCATTTTTTTCCGTCGCATAAAAAACGCAATTAAAATCACATGTGAATAATTATGTTCACGAGATAAGTCAATTAAAACACATGCCACGTCAACATCCTGCTACCACTTCCTGTTGTCTTCTTCCTCTTTTCTGCAGTGGTATAATTCGGTTGTTAATCACATTTTGATACAGCCAAAAACTTTTCATAGCACAAAAACGTTTTATTAAGGTTTTGTCCTGTTTCCGTTAAGCGGATTCATGTTCGTAATTCCAATTTGCACAATTTTATGGTCACTAGTGTTGCACAATGTAGATGATGTGTTAGTTCTCAGACATACATTGAAGCCAAAAAGTTAAACTTTGGTCTCGTCTGACCAGAGCGTTTTTGAACATTTCCTTTCTCATTTTACAGCCTACATTTACAGAGCGTATGATCCCTGTATCTCCTCCAGAGTTAGAATAATTGAACCTGGGGAAAGATTAAATTACAA